ATTATTGCTAACAATCTGAATCTTCTAAATGCTAGTGATTCGCCTCCCAGATTTCAATGGGACTTGGCCATGGTTACTTTGGATATTAATTGTCGACCAGAGGATTTTCTCCGAGGAAGAGATGTTAAGTGACCACAAATATTTAATTTTGCATTTGAATTGTGAGTTGGATGTGTCCAGGCAGTCTGGGATCACTAGAGATGTTAACAGAATTAGTACTTTTTGTTGTTCCTATAAGTATAGAATGACAAGATATTACGATGAGTTATTTGAGACTGGATCTGCAGATTAAGTGGATATTTTTGTTGGAAGATTTATGGGAGATCTGAAATTTCAGATTTCTAAGAAGTTAAAGTTAAGGCCTCGGCATATTTCTGCCATCGTATGGTGGACTAATGATCTTACCAGATTACGCAGGAAAATACGCGCTCTGGGTAAGAGATTTCAGACTCCTGGAATTACAGAACAAGAAAGAATTGTAAGAAAGATTCGATATAAACAAGAACTTGCTATATATAAACGCACACTATGCAGAGTTAAATATGAATCTGTTAATAAAATTTTTCTAGAAAATAAGGTATATTATGAAGGATTTTTGCGATGTGCTTTGGGCAAGGTTAGGAGAAAAAGAATGATTGTGAATCCTGCGAATAGTGATAATATAAGTAAGAAAGAAATTAATGTGAAATTTATTGAAGATGTTTTTAACCTTGGAGTGCCTGAAGATATGGAGACTATCCGCAATAGACTGAATGAGAATGATGATTGCGATTCTGAAATTTCTCGCGAAGAAATAATGTGGGCTATTCATGGGCTCTGTGTTAAGAGTGCTCCCGGTCCTGATGGGATCCATGCTGGCTTTTTAAAGATTTTTTATCAATTTTATCCCGATTTTATGTTTTTACTCTATAATAAATGTTTCTCTCGTGGTGTTTTCCCATCTTTGTGGAAGAGGGGTCAAATGCTTTTGATACCCAAGTCTAATGGCAAGAAAAGGCCTATTATACTACTAGATTTTATGGGTAAGATACTGGATAAGATCTTAATAAATAAAATATTATATCGAATTTTAAAAGACAATTATCTGAGTAATAGACAACATGGCTTTTTGCCGGGTCATAGCACAGATACTGCATTGTATGAAGTGATGGATTTCATTGTCAAGAATAAGCCTAATAAGCATGTAGTCGTACTGTCTTTGGACATTACCTCAGCTTTTGATTCAATCAGCTGGTTTTCTTTACTGATGACATTATTGGATTTAAACTTACCGCAGAATATTATTTAGTGTTATTTATCATATTTTCGAGATAGATATTTAATATATAATGGTTATGATGATGCCGATGATGCTATTGTGAAGATTCATAGAGGATATCCACAGGGCTCCTGTAGTGCTCCCCTGTTCTGGAATCTGATCATTAATAAGTTACTGAGGATTGATTTTCCAGATGACATCCTTGTATTAATGAAAGAGGACTTCCTGGAGAAACTGGAAACATTGTTTCAGTACATCACTCCATATTTTGAAAAATGGAAAACCGAAGAGGGGCTTCAATATTGCTTAGAAAAAACTAATGCCTTGTTCTTTCCTAAAGGCGGAAGAAAATGTAGAAGTCCACAGCTCAGGCTTAACGGAATAAGGATTAAATTTGTTAACTCCATGAAGTATCTGGGAATTACAATTGATTCCTAGCTGACTTTCACTGAACATTTTAAGGAAATTAATAAGAGAACTAACGATATTTTATTATTCAATAAGCGTTCATTTACAGCCCATACCCTAAATTTTAAATGTAAAACAATCTGTGAAATCTACAAGAATATTATAGTTCCTATTGTTATGCATGGCATAGGCTGTTGGGGTTCCAGGGCAGGGGAACTTTGTCGACTGCGTATGAAATTAAACACAATACAGAGGAGTTGGTGTTTGGCTATGACACGTAGCTTTAGGATGATCTCTATGGAGGTTCTTTGTGTCCTGGCTGGCACTCCGCCGCTCTCTTTGTTATACAAGACCTATTATGATAAATTTTTACTAAGAGATGGTAGATTATATTTTAAGTTATACGGGGGCGATTTGATTACAAGACATGCTTTTGAGAAGTATAATAGGCTGCTTATACATCCTACAAGTAATATCGTATGCAGCTTTGATAAAGAATTGCCTATCATTGGTATGCAAGACATTTACACTGACGGATCAGGTATTGAGGAAAGGATTGGTGCCGCCTTTGTTGTATACTTTTATGGTATTCAGATTCACTGTGATGTGGTGTGGTGTGTGTGATTATGGCAAAGCCTCGAGGGCTATCTGCCTAAGAGGAGGGATGCCTTCGTGGAGGACTTTCTAAAGGAAACTGGCTCGTATACACGTTACACATGGGGAAAACCATGAAAACGCCCATGCAGCCAGCCCGTTCGTGGGATTCGAACCTCGGACCGAACTACCAGTGTTCAGCGACTTTACCGCTCGGCCGCAGGTTCACTGTGAACAATATAGATTGAACTCTTACAATTCAGTCTTCCAGGCAGAAAGTTGTGTGTTGGAAAAGGCCTTGACGTATGCCTTTATGTCACACGACCTTCCATTGTCAATGTATATAGCGATTGTCTATCGTTATTACAGATATTGTGTTGTATCTACTAATTATACTGTTTTTAACATAAATAAATTCTTTGGAGAAGTTCTTGATCAGATTGAGATTAAATTGCATTGAGTCAAAGCTCATGTTGGGTATGTAGGTAAAGAAAGGGCGGATGTGCTGGCGACGGATGCTGCACTCTCTGACTGCACTGAATATATTGAGATTCCAGGTTCAAGGAGAAGTGCGAATAGAGTAATTTTAGAAAATTGTTTGGATGATTGGCGATCTATATGGGCTGGATGAGAGAAAAATAAAGATCACTCGCGATTTTTACAGATCAAGAGACGCATGGCACTTCATAATAACATTGATATGAACCAGTTTCTCACTGGACACTGGTAGTAGATTTCCAAGTTATTTGAAGAGATTTCACATACAAGAGACAGATAAATGCCCTAAATGTGAGGTTTCTGCAGATGCTAACCACTATTTTTATTGTTGTAAAATCTTTAAAGATTTAAGGAAAATATATGGCATTAAAAGTAGAGACCTCTCGGACATATGAGCATATGTAAAATATGTGGAGGCCGTCCTGGGCTATATAAATACAAATAAAGTTAAATGTGGAATTTTTATATAGAAATATTTTAACTTTTGAATATTTTTAAATATTTGTAATGTATAGTAGACATTGTGATTTAATGGATATGTTTTGTATTTGTGATATTTATGGAGAAATTTAACGAGTTTTAGTGAGAATTTTATTGAAACATTGATTTTATTGGAATTTTTATTTTCTTGTAATGAGTTATTAATGTATTTTATTATATTGGATATACTGAATGTTCTCAGAAAATGTTTTTAATCTTTTATATTAGAGAGTATTTTATGTATTATTGTGGTTAATATGATAATGAAGTTAATGATTTGTAATATTTTAATTTTGTCTGATTAATTGAAATATAGTTAAAATTATTTGTGTTTAATTATTATTTGATGTTTTATTATTATTGTAAACCTGAAAGAATTTTAGTATGTGTTGTCTTTTATTGATGTTCATGAATACACAGGGTAGGCACACTATTGATAATCTTACAACATGTTTAATGGGAATTGGTTAATTAATAGCACATTGAGATAAGTAACCAATGTCATTGCTGTGCTTTAAATATGTTGATTTACCGCTAGAGATTCAAAATTAATAACAATTAATGTTTGATACCGGCTCTATATATTTATGAAATTCGAAATGTACTGAAATGTGTTTATTATTATATAGAACCACTGAGAACTAATGTCCCAGTGGTTAGATCGGATGATCCTTTCGTTGGTTTGAAATTTAGTGTTCGTGTTAGCGATTAGAGTTTAAATTTATTAGCAGAACCGGGAATTCCTCTTCCGTGTTATATTTGCCCTTCCAGATGTCCTGTGTGCAAGATTTTGTGTTTCTTGTTGTATGTCCGATAGTTTGTATAGGTTTTATGTCTGAGTATGTGATCATGGTAGTTTGTGTATTTTTCCTTATATTAATTTGTTATACTAACCACCTTTTCCTGATTTAGTTAAGTTTCGCTCTCTATCCTTTTGAAGATTGAATTATCAGCTTTGTAAATGAAAGAGTTTTATTTTTTGTGTTTGTTTTAGTTTCCTTTTTCTAATGTTTTTGTTACCCAGACTCATTCTTTGGTTTCTTGTGGCGACTTAAAATCACTTAATTACTTTTTTTGGTCCGGAGAGCATGGCTGGGTTGCTGGTCGCCATCGTTTGTGATTCAACGGAAGAAGTTACGTAAGCCATAAGGCAGCAATGCGAGGAGGGTGATCTTCTTCCTGCTTTCTTACCATGCCATCAGTTTTGGTGAATGCAATGGAGTCTCTTAGATAGGATGGGGATTTTCTGGTTCAGCAGTTGTGAGTGTTCACTGCACCATCCAAATGAAAATGTACTTCCTCTGTCCAGCAAATACAAAAAAACAAGGCCATTCTGAATCAGTCTCAAAGGGAGCAAGACACTAAACTGAGAACTGAAATCAAATGTCAGAATCATGTGGAAGCAACCAGTGCAGGACTTACGCATAAGCTACACAAGCTATAGCTTAGGGCCCCCAAAAAACCCTCTAGGTATCTAAAAATCATATTTATCACTGACGTATAATATCTGGACTTATAAAGGGCCCTATATCTCAAGTAGCTTAGGGCTTTATCAAGTCTACATTCAGCCCTGGAAGCAACCATTGCACCAGTGAATGTTTGTAAGAATATGCATATGGATAGCAATTCAACAACATATGGGGGGGATAAAACAGCTTTAATTTACAGAAACTAAATACAAGACATATATAGAAAAATGTAAGAAAGCTATATTTTCTTTAAATTTAAATTAACATTAAAACACAAGAATTACAATACAAACCTATTTTCCACCCGTCGATATTCCAGCCTAAAATTTCCCTGAGCAATATTAAATAAAGGATGAAGACAACACTCCATGTAATAAATAGCCCTTTCTAAAAAATAAAAAGAAAATTTAGAAAGCGATAAAATTATGAACCTGTAAAAAAATCAAAATTACAACAATTTAGATAAGCAAATTTTTACACGACACATTACCATACAATGCACCATGAATTAATGTTAACAACCTTCTCTGTTTATATTAAATCATATTGGAAGGTCATTATATTTACAAGTTTGTTAAAATACATTAAATACATATTGTAAACACTTCTGTTCTTATTATTTTAAATCTCTATAGAACTTGCATATGATTAAAACCTCATAATGTTCCTCATAAAGCTAAAATTTGCTTTTCTTTTCGAGGGCTATTATTAATTAGCTAAACATTCATTATTACATTTATAGGTAACCTATATAGGTATTTATAGGTTATCTAGCTTCAAGTATCTAAGAAATTCCCAATAAGACAGTATCTATATGCAAACTTAATTTTAGTTCCACTGTTACTAAGCAGTGTTTAATTGGGCTACACGTCCATTTGAAGAAAATTTTTAAAACCACTGAATAAACTTTCTCCCCAAATTTTGTTGATTTAAGACATCATGTTATTCAACAAGATATGTCACTACTGGCATATACATTCCATTCTATTGCCTCTAAAAAGAATTTTTTTATTTTATAAAATTTTATACTTTTACTAAAGTTATAGGGTTCTGTTTAGTTGTAGTAATAGCCATTTTTACTTTTGAATCTTTTCTGAATTCTCTTATTTCCCCTTGCATTTCTTCGCCAGGATGCAAATTAAGTAGGTGAACTGCAGTATTTAAATGGCTGAAACAAAAAGGTTTAGACAGAGCATGATTTTGCTAGTGAAGCGCATGTTTGCTATTCTGTCCTCCAGCTGTTAATCTTAGTAGCAGCTACGGATTCTGGCCTTCTAGTTAGTATATTGTTGGTGTATGTTTCTGATCTGTTAGGTTTAAACTAGAATTGTGTAGTCTAGCACTACTCTTATCTTAAAATTTATTGTTAAATTACCCTTAAGTTCTCACCACAAATGGTCGGTGCTGTTGTACGTACTTAAGTCCGTGCCTTTTTCTTAAAGAGCTGTCATCAATAAAAGAATCTTTCACACCCTTTCCCTGTTGCGTTCATCTCCACACTTGTATGAAAATTCATTAAGGTTTGACGGTTACAGCCGAAAACATTGCGGCAAAAACATCGCGGACGAACACGTTGCGGAGAAAACAACACAAGGCGAAAACGTCGTGCTAC